TAATTTGGCAGAGTTGACAATATTAAATCGTATCATAAATTTTCTTGGTAAGTCATATATTGGCACCATGAAGAGTCCCCAAGTCTCTATAAAAAAGAGTGGTAAAAGGACTTAGGCATCAATGAAGAGAGTAATAATTTGTCACACAAAGAAGAAACACAACCTGATGTGTAAATCGATTAATGGTATAGATGCCACGTATCATAATGGTATTAGTGAAGGAAGCTCAATTGAGGTCGACGAGTCTCTAGGTTGGACCTTTGCCAACCAAAGGCTAAGCTTGGCATATCGTGAGGTCAGATCTCCACTAACATGAGGCTGAGCTTGGCAATTTGGGGTTGGTTTTCTTCCTAATCTGACCATGAGCTTGGCATGGCAAGGTGGATTCTTCGCCAACTTGACCATGAGCTTCGCGATTTGAGGTCGATTCCTTGCCAACCTGACCATGAGCTTGGTGAGTCAAGGTCAGTTCTTTGCCAACCTAACCATGAGCCTGGCATGCCGAGGTGGGATCTTTGCCAACCTAACCATGAGCTTGGTGAGTTGAGGTTAGTTTTTTGCCAACCTGACCGTGCGTTTGGCATGGCAAGGTGGGTTCTTCACCAACCTAACCATGAGCTTAGCATGGTGAGGTAGGTTCTTTGCCAACCTGACCATGAGCTTGGCATGACGAGGTTGGCATGGCAATGTGGGTTCTTCATCAACTTGACCATGAGCTTAGCATGGTGAGGTAGGTTCTTTGCCAACCTGACCATGAGCTTGGCATGGCGAGGTAGGTTCTTCGCCAACTTGACTATCAGCTTGGCATGGTGAGGTAGGCTAAGGTTGGCTCTTTGCCTACCTGAGCATGAGCTCGAAAAAGGTTGAGGTCAGAGCTTTTCGTCTATCAAAGCTTGATAAAAATATAGCTCAGACCTTTTGTCCATATGACCTTGATAAAAAATATAGCTCGAACTTTTCATCCGTATGAGCTTGGCCGAAATTGAGCTTAGACCTTTCGTCTATATGAGCTCGATAGAAAATATAGCTCGGACCTTTTGTCCATTTGAGCTTGGCCAAAATTGAGCTTAAACCTTTCGTCTGTATGAGCTCAATAAAGAATATAGCTTAGACCTTTCGTCCATATGAGCTTGATAAAAAAATATAGCTTGGACTCTTCGTCCAGAGCTTGATAAAAAATGTAGCTCGGACCTTTCGTCCATATAAGCTTGGCCAAAATTGAGCTTAGACCTTTTGTCCATATGAGCTCGATAAAGAATATAGCTTTGGACCTTTCGTCCATATGAGCTTGATAAAAAATATAGCATGAACTTTTCGTCCACATAAGCTTGGTCGAAATTGAGCTCAGACCTTTCATCTATATGAGCTCAATAAAAAATATAGCTCAGACTCTTCATTCGGAGCTTGATAAAAAATATAGCTCAGACCTTTCGTCCATCAAAGCTTGATAATAAAAAAATATAGCTCGTACCTTAATTACAATAGTTGTGCGAATTTATTTGCAGATTTGTTAATATAACCATGGATGGAGAGAGAGAGAGAGAGAGAGAGAGAGAGAGAGAGAGAGAGAGAGAGGAGGGGGGAGGGCATCACAGTTGTGAGGGCATCACCTCAGCTTCGATGGCTGCAATATCTCATAGTTACATGATGGAGGTTCGAATCGCAGAGGGGGCTAGGTGACAGGGGGTCGCAAGGGGAAGGAGAAAGAAAGGGAAGGATCGGGGGTGGGTTACTTTTTGTTTTTTAATTAATTTTGAAAATAAAGAAAATTTTGTATTATTTAATTTTTAATAATATATTTTTATTTTTTAGTTGTCAAAAGTCTTATTTACCCCTACAAATGTAGCATGTGCTGCTCACATGAATAAATTTAACAGAAAATGTAACGGCAGGACCAAAGTCCCGATTAATAAAGAGTTGGTGGACTATTTGAACGAATAATTTAGTTTATGAACCAAAATGTAAATCAAGTACAAATTTGATGACCATTTGAGTAATTTAACTTTTAAAAAAAAATATAAGTGAGAAGAAGAGATTCCACCAACAATGCAAAGCTAAAGGTTGCATGCATAGTAGTCTAGAAAAGTCTTCAACAGTATCTTAAATAATTATTGGTCATCAGAATTATCTACTACTCATTTTTTTTTTCATTAAAAAAAATAGGGAGAGAAATTATGAGTAGAGTACCCTCAAAGAAACCAACATCTTATCTTATATATCTTGTTTGGTTTTAAAACTGCATTTTATATTTATTTGTCATAAAGTTAAAACCAAGAAATTAGGATGATAGGAACTGATGGCTTGAGTTTGATAGGTGGTAGCACATGGGGCTACTACTAGCAGCCACAAGAAACCCTTCACATAACAACATAGAACAATAAATTGCACACTTGCTCAAGTCAAGATTTGGGCCGGTCTTCTATTTCAACTACCTCTATTTTGGCTTCTGAGAGTAGTTAGGTCACGTCACAAATTTGAAGGTGAGATGGTCTAAGTGGAAAGTTCATTTAGTTTGGTTTAGAAAAAAGTTTAGTATTGCACCTAGGGGGGGGTTGCGGTTCGGTAACCGCGAATTTTTACTCAAACCGCAAACCGACCGACTATTTGCGGTTTGGTGATTTTTGAAACCGCAAAACGCAGTCGGTTACCGCGAATTAGCGGTTTCAAACCGCAAGTTCTCAAGCATTCACAAAAATATAAATTCACAACCTAAATAAATAAATACACAACCTCAATTTCTTAAGCATATATAAATTCACAATCTCCTCAACTTCTCAAGCATTCACAACCTAAGAAAATTAAAGTTACAATTCCAAGCATTCCAATTAAAGTTAAACTTCTCAAGCATTCCAATTCCAAATCTTTTAAAGTTACAAACCAAAAGGAAAATGCAAAGCAAAATGAATTAAAGTTACAACAAAAAAGAAAATCCAATTCAAAATTAATTAAAGTTACAAACTAAAAGGAAAATGCAATGCACCAGCATAAATAAACTAATTACTTACAAGTTGTCATATGTTCTATTTCCTTATATAATTCAACTTTATCATCCGTGCGGCTATACTTTGCGGTTTGCGGTAACCGCAAGTTTTGAAAATTAAATACCGCAACCGCAACCACAAATGCGGTTCGGTTCTTAATACCGCAAATGCAGTTCGGTTTACCGCGATTGCGGTTTCATTGCGATAAATTATCGGTTGATTTTTGCGATTTTTCGATTTTTCGGTTTAAAATGCCACCCCTAATTGCACCTAAATGGTTGTTATGTTCTACTTACTCCATTAAATTATAAAAAAATAAAAATACAAAAAAATCAAATAAAAAACCAAAAAAAATAATATAATATAAAATAAAGTTTGGGGGAGTAAAAATCGGGATAGAGGGGGTGATAAAGAGTTTAATTTTAATTTTTTTTGTTTTTAAATTTTTTATTCATATTTGAATCAATTTAATACAAAAATATCATTTTGCATTTGCATTTAACAGAAAAAGTTAACAAAATTGATTGAATGACTATTTGTCCTAATGAAATTGAAGTTAAAAGGACCACGAGAACGATTTTGGAAATTGATGACTCAAATGCAAATCGGGTCCAAATTCAAAGAATAATAAAACGATTAATCCCATGTTTGGTATGCCTCACTATGCCTCACTGGATTGGACTGTGCTATATAATACTTAAAATCCATGTTTGGTAAAGAAGGGGATTAACTTAAGTGGGATTGTATAGTCCATCAGTGTAAAAAAACCCCGGACTCGCTTCTCTAACATTGCGATGCCGAAATGTGGTTCGCAAAATAGCGAGAGCGCTATTTTGAACACGCGAGTCCAAACTGCTTGAATCAAAACCCCACCACCACAGTTCCAATCGAAACTTGCTGATGAGTCTCAATTAGCTCTAGTTGCCGCTCCAAGTTGGCTTGGGCTAGTCAAAAGGCAGATTGATATATAGACATAAACTCAGGAAACCAACAAAACCAAAAAGTTCAATATCCAATAATATGATTGAACCATTGGCCAAATTGAAAGGGAAGGAGGAAAAGCTTTCCTGGTGGAATTCAAGAGACAGAGAAAGAGCTCAAATCAATGAGTTGGCTCTGTCATCTAGCAAGTCTCTGCCAATAAAGACCTCCAACAATAGAAGGGGATGAGGAAGCAGATCTTGCTAGCCTAAAGGCCAGTTGAAAGACCCTAAATCAAAACTAGGGAGGCCAGGGAAGCAAGCTTCCTTATTTTTTCTGTAGCAAGGAGATGAAGGTTTTGGGTTAGTCTAGAGAAATAGGTGGTTTCGAGAGATAAAGGAAGAAAAAGTGGTTTTGAATGGTTTGGGGGCTTTTTTGTTGGAAAAATAGAGGTTTTTTTTTTTTGGGTAGTCGGTAGGAGGTTTCAAGAGAGAAGAAAAAAATATATTTCTGAATGAAATTGGAAGGAAAAAAGAAGAAGAAAATGATAACAAAAAGAGAAAAAAAAAAGAGAAAGAAAGAAAAGAAGAAGAAAAGGCTGGAAAAAAAAAACTGAAAACAGAAAAAGAGAGAAATTAATAACATAATTATTTTTTAGTCTGACACAACACCAAACGTAGGTCTTTACTATTTTTACAATCCAGCTATTTAGTCCGACGCAGCACCAAACGTAGCTCAGTACTTAATCCAACTTAGGCCAAACCGAACTAATCCAAGACAGTCCTAGGATTTAGTCCAGTCTATAACAGTCCGCCGTACCAAACGACCCCTAAATAATTATTGTAAGATCCAAAGTCTGAAAGGCAAGACAGCAGTACTGAAGCTTGGAGAATTGTCTACCACACACTTGTGGCTAGGAAGAATAAGTAGGCTAAACATGCCTATAAATAGAAGATGTACTCCATTGTGTAAGTGTGTCAATAAGAAGAGTGAGCAATAAGCTATAGAGCTAAGAAGTCCTTGTAAGAAGTGTGAGTGTCCTAGAGTCTCTAGAAGTGAGAAAGAGTGCTTGTAAGAATTAGTCTTTCTTTTGAGAGTTGTCTTATTGTAATATTTTGTGAGTCTTATACAAGTAAATTGTTTACTTATTTTGTCTCCAACAAGTCTATATTAGAGTTGTGTACTCTAATTTGCTCAACAGTTTTAACTATATAAACTAAGTTTTTTTTATATTAGTTCTTTGAAGAGAGAGATCATAGCAATGCTAGAAGTGAAGGAAGAGGAAGCCATACTACAAGGCCAAGTTGACATTTTGCGGTACACGTACAATTTTGTTGAGAGCATGGCCTTGAAGTGTGCTGTGGAGCTTGGCATTGCAGACATCATAAACTCTCATGGCCAAGGCCAACCCATTACCTTATCTCAAATTGCACCACAAATTGCCTCGCCTTCAACCGACCTTGATCTCCTCTCACGTCTCATGAGATTTTTGGTCCACATGAACCTCTTCGAGGCAACCATTGATCCAAAAACAGGTGACGCCCTCTACGGCCTCACAAGTTCATCCAAGTGGCTTTTAAGCAATGAGGAGCAAAGCCTGGCCCCTCTAGTGCTCATGGCCAATCAACCCCATCACTTAGCCTCCTGGCATTACCTAAGCCAATGCATAAAGGAAGGTGGATGTGGGTTCCAGAAAGCAAATGGGTTTAGCTTATATGATATCCCAAGTGAGAAATCTGAATTGGGAAATTACTTCAAAGAGGGTATGGCATGCACGTCTAGAATTGTCATGAAAGCAATCTTGTCGACTTATAAACAAGGGTTTGATGGCGTGGGATTGATTGTTGATGTTGGAGGAGGTCTAGGCACGGCTGTGGCTGAGATTGTGAAGGCTCATCCACATATAAGAGGTATCAATTTTGACCTAGAGGACGTGGTGGCTAGGGCACCAAAGTACCCTGGTGTGATCCATGTGGGTGGTGACATGTTTGATGTCATTCCAAAGGCTGAGGCCATTTTCATGAAGGTAAGATCCATGCATTACATGCACAAAAATGTTATTTTGTTAAGACTTTGAACGTGAATCTTTAGTCATTTAAATGTGTACCGGAATGTTAGATTTATAGTCTGAGAGTCATAATAAGTTTGGTGAGAAGTATGCACTAAAACTAACTCGTGACACTCTAATTTGTGATTCAGTGGATACTTCACAATTGGAATGATGAGAAATGCATTAAAATTCTGAAGAATTGTCGCAAAGCTATCCCTGAGAAAATTGGGAAGTTGGTTATAGTAGATGGGGTTCTTCTTCCAGATAATGGACTGTGGGACTCTTTTGTTCAAAGGTACGACCTGACGATGATGGTACAAACAATAAATGGGAAGGAGAGAAGTGAAGTTGAATGGAAGAAGCTTCTGAGGGAAGGAGGATTTGGTCGCTATAAGATCATCAAAATCCCAAGCTTTCTATCAATCATAGAAGCTTACCCTGAATGAATTGCATCAATGTTGTTTTGTTTTTATCAAGTGTGCTTCTCAATAAGCAGCTCAAGTGCTTAATTATCATGTAATAAGGCTCTACTTGGAATGTCAAAGTTCAGTTGTAGAGGAGTTAAAAACTTTCTTAGTTCTCCCTCGTTGTCCTGGGTGCAGATCAAATTGAAGGGTGCAAATGGAAGCCCAAAATAAGGTTTTGTTATACGGATAAACGAAGAAAGTGTCGGCATAAGTTGTCACAACCATCCAAAAAACCTCGTGTCTTGAAGGGAATCATATATATTCTTCTTCCAAAACAGTAAAAGTCAAAAAGAGAAAAGATTAACATCCAAGGCAAGAACATATTCTCATGAAGACAAATGATAGTTACAAAAACAAGATAAACAAATTTCAATTATAAAATGATAACTATGTGCCTCTCTGGGTGTGTGTGTGTGTGTGTGTGTGTGTGTGTGTGTGTGTGTGTGTGTGTGAGAGAGAGAGAGAGAGAGAGAGAGAGAGAGAGAGAGAGAGAGGAGGAGGAATCATTAAAGGGAGATATCGATTTTAATATTCAAGGTCTAAAGTTTTGATTACTCTTATGTTTTATCCATCTTGTTGAGGAGAAAAAGGGCAAGCAGATAGGACACAAATCAAACCTGAAGAACGAGAAAAATAGAAAGCCACGAAGTAAGGCTAAAATTATTGGTTTATAAGTTAAGGTTATTTTTTACTGGACTAGATCCGAGAAAATTTAATTATGTATTTCCCGACCATACAAGAGGAACAAATTTCAGATAGTCATGGTTATTATGTTATTTTGATCAAGTCATGGTTATTATGTTGATCCGATATATATAACTTTCACATGTGAGGTCAAGATCGTGATGAGGGCTTTCTTATCAGTGTATAAAGATGAGCTCTATTGTATTGAAATCATTGTTGAATGTGGGAGGTGGAGCCGGAGAGGTTATAGGCGAGATTATGAAATCAAATCCTGGCCACACACCAAAGGTATCAACTTTGATTTGTCACATGTCATGGTGTATATGCGCGATGGAAATTTATAAGAAGAACTCAGACCATTTTCAGGCGAAACCTAACCAGTTTTAGTCAGTTGGATTGGACTGTTCTGTGTTTCCGTCTTCTTGTGTATAATTATTTCGTTTCCAACTGATAATGAAATTGTAGAGCACAAAATCGTAGCAAAATAGTGTGGTGGAAAGTGAGTATCATTCCGCATAAACTAAGACTAATTAACTGAGTACTGATTATAATTAATCCTACACTTTATCTGGATGTTCGAATGGTGAGGCTTTGATTTGAATTACGTAAGTAATTAACAAGAATGAACTAACATAAACAATAATAAAATTTGGCAAACACTGATGGTATGAGCATTAGGATTCCGATTTCACCATAGTCAATTCTACCCTATTCCTGTAGCCAGTTAATCCTAATTATTATCCATGTTAATGGTAAATTTCTCTTAATTATTTAATATGACATGCATGTCTATACCAAAAGTAATCCTACAACCGTCCCACTCTATGCCTAGATGAAGAACTAAGAAGTAGAAACCCATTAAGTTCTATGGAAATTTATGGAAACCACACAAGCCTCGATTAACCTTTCAGTTCACTCAAGTACTGTGATATCAATTACTAGAAGCAAAATCCTGAGTTGGATATTCCTATCGTCAACTCAAGCATCAAATCAATTAAGTGGTGATCAAGCACTCAAAGAATAAAGAATGGTAAAAGATACTTAACATGGAAAATAATATCAAATTAACATAAACACATAAATAAGGTATATATTCATGGCTAGGCTACATCGTAGCCCTAGCAAAAAGGAAATTAGAACATGATAAACTTATTGAGAATCACAGAGTGGTTGATGGTAGACATGAAGATGAATTCGAAAACTCCCAAAAAGCTCCAAGGTGGCCGGCGGCAGCAAGACTTCTCTTCGCAAGAATTGGGTATTTTCGGGTAGTGAAAAGTATGGATCCCCTCTATGAGGCCAGCCCTATGCTATTTATAATACACAAATCCTTAACCTATTTACAATCAAATACTACCAAAAATAGGTTTCCCAATATCTCTTTGATTGCTTCTCCAAATTCCACAAGGATTTGACCAAACTTCCTCCTTTAAGCTTTGATCGATCGATTGCCTTCTAAGAAACATATTCTTTGTCTCCAATTAATCCTTGTCGTACATCTTAATGGTTTTTGAGTCCAATTTGACAACTTTTAGTCCAATTACTCTAATTAGGGACCAACTACACAATTCTCACAAAATACATTAAATCCAACAATTTAATGCAAGAAAATCAATAAATAAATAAGCAAAAAAGGCATAAAATATATGTAAAATATGGACTTATCACCAACCCATAAAACAATAAAAATATACCAGCATGTTAGCTTATCCTGGTTATGATGCAAATCCATTCTTGACTAAGTAGAATCATGAAAATTCACGATTCAGACTGAACATTAGGTCATATGTCAAGTCAAGATAGATAAGCAAGGAATTCATATGCCAAATCGCGTAAGGAAACGCTAGTAAGTTAGGCATTATATCTAATCCTTGGAAAGTTTTTTTATTAGTTCTTTGAAGAGAGAGATCATGGCAATGCTAAAAGTGAAGGAAGAGGAAGCCATACTACAAGGCCAAGTTGACATTTTGCGTTAGACGTACAACTTTGTTTATACCCAAATGAACAGCCAATAAGCATCGGACACGTGGACCAATTTATAGCTATCGAAGCCTTCGGCACCTAGCTACAGTTCGTTCCTACCAATCGCACGATTAGGGCAACTCTACTGCAAGGGGCACGTGGCAGTCCCACAATTGGAGTCCACAGTCCCACATCGAAATTCCAAACAATTTGCACACCTCCCAAGGCCTATAAAAAAGGACAACCATCCCAACTAGGAGGTAATCAATCAGAACTTACGGTATACTGCCTATTGATCTGTAGTTCAATCTTACTAAATCCGCACCTACTTAAGCATCGGAGAGCCTTCGGCAGGTATCACACCGGTGCCCTAGGTCTTACCGAGCGTTTGTTATCTTGCAGATCCAACGCCCTACCGAGACCCATAGCATACCGAAGGCATAACATTACTAAGTTACGCGGGAAAGTGCCGAACCATTTTTCTGCGTCAACAGTTTGGCGCCGTCTGTGGGAAACGATAAGAATCAACCTACAATTCCTAAAAAACACATGGGAACCACTTCAGGACAAACGTACTTACCGGAGGACGGACTACCGTACGGAATGCCAAGCGAAGCAAGCCCCGCGCTGCACCCTAGCACTCCCTTCGGTAATCCTCCGGTGCTTCAGACCACTGTCGAAGCGGAGCTTCTAGCTCAAATGATTTCCATTCTGAAGGAAATGGCCAAGCTCCAAGAACATAACAACCTCCTCTCGTCTAAAGTAGACGAAACTCAGCGGTTGCTTAAGCAGGACACGCAGAATATTTAGTCTATAGAACCTTCCCAGAGTCTACAGACCCCTAGTCGGCAGAAGAGAGGGAAGAATGGGGCAAAGGTAATGCCTGCGCCTTCCAAACAGCTGGTAGTCCAGGCCCCATGGGACCAGCCTCACGTACCGAAGAAGGTCTACACCGACTGCCGCCATCGAACAAACGCCAAGGATGCCGAACGGCAGAGATCCCCGATCAGGATCAATGCTCTCCTGCGGGACTCACGGATGAGGGTCCTTGGGGACAAATCACCTCTTAGAAAGGTCCGAGGCTTGGAGTCGGAGGTAGAATCTGACGATGAGTATGCTCCCTCAAAAGACACCGAATCACACTACGGTTCGGAAACTCCCACGGAGTATTCGAAGGCGAGGCCACCAAGTCCGAGGAGAACTTCCGAAGACTTCAGTTCCGAGGAGGTCCCCAGCCGAGACCCCGCTATCCGTCTGCTCTTCCAGAGAGTTCAGAAGATGGAAGACGACTAAACCCAGTCCCAGGAGCCTGACTGGGGGAAACTTCAACCGGGTCCCTTTACCGAGCGCATCAAGAAGTCCAGACCGAACCGGGAAGTATAGCTGTTGCGCATACCGTTTTACACCGGCGTGGAAGACCCCTTGACACACCTTCACTCCTTCTAATCGGCGGTTGGATGCAAGGGCCTCGGCGATGAGGGGCAATGTCTGTTGTTCCCATCCTCCCTTACTGGAGCTGCTTTGAACTGTTTTACCGCCTTGAATCAGGAACGGTAGACTCCTTTGACGAGCTGAAGCAGATTTTTCTAAATCACTTCATGATCCAGACGGACCGTCTGTACTCTGCCGACAATCTGTACACGGTTCGGTAGGGAGAAGATGAACCCATACGGGAATACGTTGCGCGCTTCAGTCATGAGTACTCGAGATGTCCGGAAACGGACGATAGGGCAGCCTACGGTGCCTTCAAGAGTGGTCTTTGGCCCTCTCACTTTCGGTATCTTGTGCACAGTAGCAACTGGTGCACGTATGACGAACTGATGAAGCAGGCGGCAATCCACGCCAAGGCCGAATATTTCAACTCCAAGCCCGGGCCTTCGGCTCGGCAGAAGGAATTGGCACCCAAGAGCTATCCTGGGTGGACTGACGACTCCTTGGGAAGCCACAAGCGAAAGGACGACCGTGACAATCGGCAAGGTGGCTCAAAGAATAGGCGAGGGAAGTATGGTCGTAACGACCACCGAGCGCCACTGCCGAATCACGACCGCGCTCAGGAAGTATTCACCCTGTTGAATACCACATATGAGGCCGTACTGATTGAATTAGCACGAAAAAATCCTAAAACCCAACAACCAGAAGCCCAATCTGCAGGACAATCGGGATACCGGCAAATTCTGCCGATATCATCAACAGAACAGCCACAACACCAAAGACTACATTAGCCTGAGGAAGATCGTTAAACGGCTGATTCGGGAGGGAAAGCTGGATCAATATATTGCTAGACCACAGCAGGCACCAGCCCCAAACGCGAATCGACAGATCAACATAATCAGCACCATCAGTAG